ATATATATATATATATATATATATATATATATATATATATATATATATATATATATAATATAACTCAGGAAAGGGGGACACAATAGATCTTTAATATCACGGTGTTTAACCCCCCTTCCCCTCATTATAAATTCTACATCGTATGTAATGTAATGGTTTTAGAAGGTAATAAAATTCTCGTAGTAGTATAATAGACACAAACTAATGTTCTTTTGGGTTAAACACAATAAATATTAAACCATTATATTAAACATTTTTTGTACAGGTTGACATATTCAATTCATAGCAATTTTTCCACAACACTTCATATAATTATCAATTAAAAATAATATATATTATATATTATTATGTTCTTATACAGGGTGTCCCAGAAATAAGTGCAAGTATTTTAAGTGGTAGATCTCGATAAAAGAAACATATTTTTTTCTTTATCGTTTTCAAAGAAGTCCAAAATAACGGAGTTATTTTACTTTGAAAATTTTCAAAAAAAATGATTTTTGCTAACCACTGGAACTTTTCGGATTTTCTTCCTTGTTAATTTAATCTATTACCTATGTTGCCATATTATCAAGAAACTATGTTTTTTAGCTAAAAACTAAAAAAATTCAAAATATTTTTAAAAAATTTTCGCGAAAGAAAACTCATAGGCGTATTTCTGGGGTTGAACTATACTACCAGTTAAATACTTGCACTTATTTCCGGGACATCTTGTATAGATAAAAATGATATTAATTTTAGAAAATGATTTAATTTAATATTGTGTCCTTTAACTTAATGATAAGTTAGTTATTATGGTAATTCAATAAAACATCAACAAAATAATCCATTTTAATTCGCACTTCAGTGGATGGTTTGACTTTACTGAGCGCCATTTAAAATTCTTCGCTTAGTCATTACGAATTAAACTGGAAGTTATAAGTTATTTTTAAATAGTAAATGATAGTTTTTATAAACTTTATCTTGAAAGTAAGTTTCAATTTATTGGTTAAGAAAATAACTAAATGACGGTTTGTGTAACGATTTCGTTGTCATCCGGTATCATCGCTGGCATATCTCCTATGGTGTAATTAACAATAGTAAACCTATAAATATTTTATATATTTACTTTTGAATTATATTAATTCATTAACCAATATTGTTTAAATACCTTACTAACGTAAAATATATAGAACGTGATGTCATACTGAGGTTAACAATATCTGTCTGCGGCAATTTCTGCGGTTAGCTGGCGACCTAGTTATATTCAGTTGTCCAAATATTAAATAGTAATTCGAAGAACTAATTGATCAAGTGACTATTTAGCGTAGTTAGTATCGCTAAAAATATACCTTCAAGTCGCTACCAAATCTGTTTTGTTCCAAACAATCCAATGATCCACAAAATATGTCGAAAACTATACGGGTTGTTTCAAAAAACATGTGCCGTCTCTTGTGGGGAGATTCCTTACGTAAAAATAAGATTAATTTTTTATAATAATAACTTTATTGCCTAACAGGTATTAATTAACCCATACAAAAGACAAATTAGACATAATAATATGCAAATATAGTAATAATTAATAAAATATAAAAAATACAGAAAAAAAAGTATATATATATATATATATATATATATATATATATATATATATATATATATATATATATATATATATATATATATATATGAAACAAAAGATAGATGAAAAAAATAGATAAAAATTAATGTTTGAAGGAACGAGTGTCCAGATGCCCTTTAAAACTTTGGAGAGAGTTGTGGAAGAGATCCAAATCTGTATGTCTGCTGATGTCGTTGAAAGTTCAACAGGCGCGATGTAGTGGAGCTCTGCTTGCAAGGACGGTACTTGGTGTTTTTGTATAAAACGTCGTTTTCATTCTAGTATTTACGGACGGTACATGCCAGCAAAGTGCACCGAGAAGAGAAGGAGAATCCAATAGATAATTACACAACTTATAGGAATATGATAGACGAACGAAGTCTATTATCCTTTAAAGAAAGGAAATTCCATCTAATCAACAATCGGCCGTGATCATAACCTTAAGGAGGATATATCCCATCCTCTTTAAAAATAATAATTTTAAAAAAACGACGTTGAACGTTTTTCCAGACGTTGCTCGTGGCTACTATATAATGGAGACCACACCAATGCAGCATAATCCAGCCTTGGCCTTACAAATGCGTTGTAGAGAGCAATAAGACACGGAATATTGTGGAATTTCTTAGTTGTGCATGATATAAAACCTAGTGCCTTCAGTGACGCTTTACAGATTTCCTCAACGTGATAGTTAAAACTGAGACGCTTGTCGATATAGACGCCAAGGTCTTTTACCATATCGCAGTTTTCCATTGTAATGTTGTCTATTTTGTAGTTGTATATGATTTCTCCGTGCTTTAGTGCTATTGACATTTTCTTACATTTCTGTATGTTGAGTGATAGATGGTTGCGAACAGTCCAGGCAAAGATGGAGTTTAATGAATTCTGAACTCGTATGCAATCTTCTGAGTCGGTCACAACAGAGAACAATTTTAGATCGTAGGCGAATAATAAGGATGGACAGTCAATTACGTTGAATATATCATTGATGCAAATGGAGAATAATAGAGGTGCGAGGTTGCTACCCTGAGGAGCGCCACTTGTTGGTGTAAATCTGAAAGAACGGTGGCCATTATATTCAACGTATTGCGATCGGTAAGAAAGATATGACGAAAAGAATGCTACGAGTTTTTCTGTAAAACCAAAATTTATGAAGCAGTCGTGAGTGACTCAACTTGTCGAATGCTTTCGAGAAGTCCATAAAAATTGCATCTACCTGCTGGTGTTCTTCAATAGCTTTATATGTGTATTCTATAAATGATGAATGTAGTAAGATTTGTTGTAATTGTTGTTGTTACAGTAGACCTTTTTGGGAAGAAACCATGCTGATTGGAGGAAAGTTCGTTTTGGATCTGGGAAAATAATTTCGTAAATATGCATATTTCAAAACCGACCTGCTTCATCTTACAATATATATATATATATATATATATATATATATATATATATATATATATATATATATATATTATATATATATATATATATATATATATATATATATATATATATATATATATATATATATATATATATATATATATATATATATATATATATATATATATATATATATATATATATATATATATATATATATATATATATATATATATATATATATATATATATATATATATATATATATATATATATATATATATATATATATATATATTCCTGAGTTATAACTCATGATACAGTCTATAACTCATCATACATGGAGGTCTTCCTGTGGTGTGGCGGGACATATTTCCTATTCTCCTGTGACAACAGCTGTTCATCATCTGATGAGTGAAAATTTATCTCCTACGAGGGTATATACCCTTCCACAGTTGGGGTTTAGCCCTCCGAGCCTTTCACAGTCGAAGACCTTGTCTCCGGCTGAGGTGCCCTTGAAGTGAAGACTGGAGGATTAGTCTCTTTATTATCTTCACCTCTTTAACTTGGTCTCTCTTGCTGAAGGGCTAGTCGGCCCAGTTCTACAGAGCTGACGAGAATGCAATGGGTTGCGTCCTGGTGCCCCAAGCTTGAGACCAGTAGATGCTACATCGCCGTCATCATCAGGACTTGGTGAGGTTGTCTCGTCTTGGTCCGGGCGGTTAAATCAAGACCACCCATACCCGCTGCCTGTGATACATAACCATTAGGGTGTCCGTTATTTACGAAGTTGACAATTTCTCTCACGACGCTCTCTAATTTTTTAGTTTATTGTCTAAAAAACAATAACAGACCATTGTAAACCCTTAATATTCACAATAAACCTTGCCCCAAAAACGATGCATTTCCCGTTTAAATTACATGGAAATTTGCCACTACAAATATTTTTTTTCTCTCGATTTTGTTCTCTCGCAGCCATGAAAATTACATATTCTTATACAGAATTGAACGCTCTACAAAAAAGATCTCTTCCAATTTTTCAACAAACCTACTCCTTCAAAAGTTATTCACGGTTAAAGTTAACCACTCAAAATTCCTAAATTCCTTTATTCTATAATTATCTTTGAAAAATTTAATCTACTACTCTAAAAATATACAATTCTGATGGTGCTAAGGTTGAGAATTAAGAAATCTTCAAGTCTAATGAAGCTTAAATCATTTAAGCTGATTTAAGTATAGCTGATTTATTTTAATAAACATTGTTTATTAAAATAAATCAGTTAAATATACTTAAATCGTAGGAATAGCTTTTGAAGAAGTAGGTTTATCGAAAAATTGCAAGAGGCCTTTTTTGTAGAGCATTCAATTCTGTATATATATATATGTAATGAAATGAATATGTTATTGTCATGGCTGCGAGAGAACATGATAAAAAAAATTGCAAAAAGTGGCAAATTCCTATGTAATTTAAATGGGAAATGAATCGTCTTTGGGGTAAGGCTTATTGTGAATATTAAGGGTTTACGATGGTTTGTTATTTTTTTTAGGCAATAAACTAAAAATTTAGAGGGTGTCGTGAGAGAAATGACCAACTTTGTAAATAACGGACACCCTAATAACCACAGAGAGTAAAGAGTGCTTTGTATGACGGACATGATAGTTCCATACGGCATTGTTATACGTCCTGGTGCAATTCCCTGGCCACGACGCTACAGCCAGGCAGTGAGTGCAGCCAGGCAGCCAAAGTGCTAAAGGGGATTCCCTCTAGCATTTGACTGGGAGCTTCCCCACCAACGACAAGGTCTCGCATCTCTAAAAGGAAGACGAGGAAGCATGCTTGTCATACATTTCACGTCAACCGTGCTTGTAACAAACTTTTTAAAGCTAAATCACAAATTAAGCACTATAATACGCTCTATAATTTACAGAATCTACCAACATTACTTGTTTGAAACCAAGTTTTCCAAACGAAACTGAAAACATGTGAATAATTTAATTTGGTTATTAATAATAATGTAATACTTACTTATATTTTTCAGTAAAGTCTTTGTACTCTTCCGCTGGCTTTATGGACTCCAAACTAGAATTTATCCTTTTTTGGATTTCACAGTGTTTCTCCGAAGTTAAGTCTGAATTGCTGACGATATCTTGAAGAATTTGTTTCCTGTAACAAAACTTTAGTGAGAAAAATATATATTATTGGATGAAATATTACTTATTTTATTCAACCAAAGGGTAACATTTTTTGTAAATTCCGGTTTTTATAATTTTCAAGCAATATCAAAAATTAATTTATTTCTATTTGACCAGTAATCTTAAATATTTAACCTATTGGTGTGGACGGGTTATATTTTAATAATATATTTTGCTCAATTATCAAACTTTTGTAGTTTTGATGGAGATTTTATTTAATGTTTTTTTATTATAAGATTGTGGATACTGTTACACATGTTATAGGTAATATATTATTTGGTAGTGTTTCAAATTTAGTAGAAAATTGAGATGAAGATCTGAATGAAGAGAAAAAAATATTCATTGAGACTAATAGAAAATGTTTGGTTTGGTTTGTATAGTAGTATAAAAATCAGATATTAATTTTAAGCAAATAACCCTTAATGCAAGGCCATAATGCAGTATTACACTCATAATAATTGCAATAGTGTCATACTGGTTTCTGTTGCAAAAAAGTTATGAAAAAGGTTTAAAAGTGGCATTGCACCTGATTACTTGCTGCTTATATGTTCAAGGAGCGTGGCGACATCTTTCGGAGAAGAACGACCGCTATAGCGTTCTGCTTATTACGACTGCGAGATTCGAATTGCGCGCCATCTCTTGGACGCCATGGTAAGATCGCAGACTTAATATGTAATGGAAATTTCCAGAATTAAAAAAAATCTTGAATGAAAGTTAAAAGAATATCCGCTTTAAATACATTATTTAAAGCGGGAATAGCTCGAAATGGGTTTGTTTTAAATAGACAGTTTTTGAAATAAGTGAATTGTCGAATAATTGGCGAAAAAATTAGAAAATCGGACAAAGGAATATTTTAGTGTTATAGTTAATTAGTTACTGTGTTTATAGTTGTAGAATAAATTAGTTTAAGTGTTTTTATTGTATGTTTTAAATTAAGAAATTAAAGAGAGATAATTTGTATAACGCCACCAACAAACTTTTTTTTAATGACTGTTTTTCGTTTTGTTATCTGATTTGATTTCAATTTTAGATAAAATATCTTAGGATTTGTCTCCAAACTAGTTAAATTCAATGTAACATTATTACCTGGAAATCATAATAAATAACGTAAAGATAAACTTACCGTTTAAGCAATAAATAATATTTTTAACATATTATTAGCTTATTGCGTTTGTGTAGGGATTTGATAAAGGAATTTAATAATTCCCGGCAACATGTAAGTAACGTAAGCGTAAGTTTAACATTTTCTATATTAAAGCATTTAACACAACAGTGTTTTGACAGACGTGCCAGATAAGCTTAAGTTGGCTTAAGTTTAGTAATGAAAATTAATAAAATAAAAAAAACAGTGTGTGCACTATTTGAAGTGAAACTACTATCAGTTATTTATATTTTTTTACTAACAGCTATTAAATTGAAGGATTTGAAAGATATATAATTTTGTATGAATGCTTTTTATAAACTTCAAAAAATAGAGGTAATATCGAGGTTAATATAAAACCGTATACTATTCGAGGTTTATAATTATTTTATAATGTTTTTTAATTTTTATTAAAAAACGATAATTCTATCACCCGGCCGGATAGTCCTGGCGGCTGTGAGCATTAAACCAAAATGTTACTACATCTATATCTCTAACTACTACTAACCAATAATTTGTTTTGTGTGGTCTGTTTTTGTTTAAATGTTTTGTTTATTATTTATTATTTATGGTGATTTACAGTGCTACACACGAGCTAGCGTCACGCCACGCGTCACAAATTTGGTAACGATCGAAAAAGCGGTAAGCCAATGAGGAAGTTGAGCTAAGTCTTTGGAGCGTCGTAACTTGGGCTCTATGTGAGTTAGGGGGCTGAAACTAGGAATGTGAATCTTTTCATGATATTTTGACGACGTTTCATACGCTATGGAACCCCATCATTAATGGCAAAAACATCGTCCGATTTAAATGAAATTTGGCATGTCTATAGATTGGACCAAGACCAACTTGACCGTGTATGACACGTGTCACTGTGACAGCTAATTTTGATTTAAGAAACGTCAAAAGTTGAAGTCGTCCGATTGCGACCAAATTTTTGGTTGGTAGGCTATCTGAGCGATGACGGGTGCACACGGTTCCATCCTGCAAAGTTGGATACGACGCCGACGTTTCGTTTACATCTTCATTAGGGTGGGATGGACAGACAGACGAACAAAAGTTTCACTTAAAATACGCGCACATAGTTCACACACAATTGTTATGGTTACGATTGACATATCTTTGGATAAATAATGTACGAAACCAAATCTCTTTTATTTCTTTTTTTAGCTTTCAATTTCCACGTCTGATTTTAGAGCTTTAATTAAAATAAAGTTTCTAATTATAACAGCGACAAAACCAACATAATTAATTTAAATGTTTTGCAAGTAATTTAATACTTCGCCACTGAACGAAAAATCCAAAAAATTCGAAAAGTTATTTTTTACAAAATAGCACTGCGAAAATCCAAACAGAAACCACCTTGTCTCTGGCTAACCTAACCTAACAAAAGTGCTTAACATTTCAAGACACAAAGGCAAAGACATTATTTATAATACTTTTGGTTTCGAATAAATTTAAACCGGTTTTATATCTGAATAAATAAATATTTTAGTGATTCAACAGCATTTATACAATATTTTTATTAAAATTATTAAAAAAAACAAGGGGTGGTCCATGATAAAGTGGGTGGTCCATGACAAAGATTAAAAGTTAGTCATCGGTTCCTGAACACTTAATACAGGGTGGTCCGAATTGTAACTTCGATAATATATTCTGCAGATAAAAATAAGTAAACAAGTTCGTATAAATTCATGTCCTAAAATGCTTCGTTCGAAGAAACATGGTATAAAATTTTATTCTCACTCGTACATTTGTTCTCGAGATATATGGAATCGAAATATCAATCTCATATCAATGATGACATGTATTGATTGAACATTTGACTGAAATGATAATGCGGAAACGTAAACTTAAATTTTGACCTTAATACCTTTATTCAAATAACACCATCCATGGTAATGTCAATATGACAGTATATAATATTGATGTCACAAGTTTAAAAAATGAGCGATTCGGAAAGTATTCCCTCTGACATTGAAGAAGAGGTATTCAGAGCCAATTCTCGATTGCTTCCAGCAAGATCAAAACAGAAGTATGATTATACATACTCTAAGAATGAAAAATGGTGTACCGAAAAAAAAGTACACAACTATGGAAATGAAAAGGTACTCATAACATATTTTTCCAATTTAGTGCAAAATAAATGTTTTACAAAATATTTTTTTCTCTTTGGTAGTCGTCTAAACAAGGAGTGCGGCACTGAAAATGTGTGAGTTAAGAAGCTCTTAACTCATTCAAAATGCGTGAGTTAGGAGCTTCTTAACTCACTGACGTAGATAAAAGTAATTAGATAAAGTTTATTTTGTTATATTTGACTGTTTAACTTCCTAATAATGATTAAATTGTATATTTTGTTTATATTCTTATGAAATTTCTTACCATGTAGCTACAAACGCCTCTTGTAATGACTGCTGGTGTTCCAATAGCCCCGGTAAAAGCACTGTTCGATAATCTTTTTCGAATTCGGCCGCTTCGCATAAAAGCAACACGTATTCGTTATGAGTCAGATGGAGTTTCCTGCAGGCCTTCTGATATTTATCTCTGACTTCGTCAAGTTTTCTACCACCGCGACCACCTAGAAAAAATACACGGTATATAAACATCATCTGACAGTTTGACATAATACATAATTAAAAATAATAAAATTGTTTTGCTATATGCGGGCTACGCAAGCACGGATTATAAAAGTACGTACTTTTGATGACTAACTGAATAGAATGGCTGAATATGTCTACTTTTGATATTTTCGCTTAAAAATATTATTTGAAATGTAAATCTAGACAAATAGGTACTGTGTGCCAAATTATTCGCAAAAGAAATGCTTATGAGTAAAAATACGATTTGGGTAATTTTTAATCGACTAGGAAAAGTCACGAAAAATACTAGATGATCAAATCTATTTTTCCAAAACTCCTTGACCAAAAATTAGGTTTTAATACATCCTTGGCTGGCCGTGGTGTGTCTAGCGGTAGTGTGCCGCCTGTTGGGCGAGAGATACTGGGTTCGATCTACAGCCAGTACGGTCGCTTTATTTATTTAAATAAAAATGTTTATTTTTTCTAAATAGAGCTTCCAGCCAGCGGGCCGCCTCTTCAGGGTGCATCCACATCACCCTTGAATCGATTTCCAGCAATTCTATTCAAGGTCGTTACGCCGATACGCTGCGCCAGCGCCGTTTCGCTTTTTCGAGGATGGTATGGATGCACCCTCAAAGAAGGCAATGGCAAACCATCTCAGTTATACAGGGTGTTTCAAAAAACATGTGCCATCTCTCATGGGGAGATTCCTCACGTAAAAATAAGATTTATTTTTTATATCAATATAGGTCCGATTCTGCTTTGTTTCGTACCTACCGGATGTTAAAATCTTAATAATTTTTCGATTTATAATAATTTTCTTCCAAATACTTTTAGTGATTTGAATGAAATTTTGAGGGTATAAGTTACAATAAGTACTACATAGTTTAATGCTATAAAAGTGTCGATAAATTAATCAGGGACGTGTACATGGATTATCACTGGAATATTTTTCAAAAAAAAAACATGTGCGCCACTGACTTTTTTCTTTTGATATCAAAATTGTGTAGGCCGTTTAATGTCAATTAAAAGTTATCTCTTGATATTTTGTAGAATTCTGCCTCCTTGATAAGATAAACGCAATTTTATTAATCACAATTAATAAAATTAAATTAAAAATGAAATTAATAAATTGTATATTTTAGGTAATTTACTATTAAATATTATTACTATTAGTCAAACATATAGCAATTTCAAATAAAAAATTATGGTATTTAAGAAAATTACAAAAAACCTAATTTTAAAAAGTTTTAATATCCTGTAACTCTAAAACTATGCATTTCCATACCCGTGTTTATAGGAACTTCTTTCATATTTTTTGATGTGGAATCAATGAGTACTTATTTATAACTTTCGCAACTTAATGCTATTAAAATTTTTTAAAGGTTGCTATTAAACTTGGACCAAGGCAAATTGCGTTTATCTCATCAAGGAGGCCGAAATCGACAAAATATCAGAAACAACTTTTAATCGGCCTTAAATTGCTTACACTATTTCGCTTACAAGATAAAAAAAGTCAGTGGCGTACATGCTTTTTTAGGAAAATATTCCAGTGATAACCCATATGCACGTCCCTGGTGAATATGGCGACATCTTTTCGCCATAAAATATGTCGTATTTATAGCAATTTTTACCCTCAAAAATTCATTCGAAACGCAAAAAGTACTTGAAAAAAATTATAATAAATCGAAAATATATTAAGATTTTAACACCCTGTAGCTAGGAAACAAAGCAGAATCGGACCTACATATTATGTTGATATGAAAAACAAATCTTATTTTTACGTGAGGAATCTCCGCAGAAGAGATGCACATGATTTTTGAAATACCTTGTATATTGGTAGTTATATATGCCTTATCCAGCCCCTCAAATAGTGCCGTTCGTATTCGGCAACAAACTGTAGGTCCCGTGTACTTGTAAAACACTGATGACACGCGTCACAAGTACATGCGAGAGCGAGGGGTGTCTCAGTTGGGTAAAAAATGTACATGTACTGTCAAAATATCATTTTACTGTCAAGCGACTGCCAATGACGGCGAACAAGACTGCCTATGTAATGAGATATAATTATTATAGACGATTGCCGTAATACTGCCAATGACTGCCAGCGACTGCCAATAAAATGTACATGTAATTCCACTAGTAAGACACGCCTCGTGCTAGAGGTAGTCTACGCTCTGTATAGAGCATGGCACTGTTAGAAGAAAAACACCATCCATGGATCTAGACATCTACTCTAGATTATAAATAATATTTTTCTATAATGGCAAATGTCAAAAGCTGACTATGTTACACTCTTCAGAATGTCAATTTCTAAAAAAACACATATAACAAATTTCTAAAAAAACACAATTTACAAATAAAGTAAAAAAATTGTCATTTAAAAATCAAAAGGAAATCAAATAATTGAATACGCCAATCAATTCTCATTTATATCATATACTAACATACAAGATCTATATTTTTTATCTGAAAAAATAAAAAAATTATAGAGGTGTTACATGAGAGAAAAACATATTATGTTTTTCTTACATATCCTTTTCCTGCCACAAGTACTCTGTATATTCAAAAACAATTCTAAATTAAAATACAGAATTAGAATTATTTTTGTATATAAAAGGGGCTTCAAAAAAGTATGGCGGATATACCAGGTGCGGCTCAAAAGTGGCTCACCTCTATTGCTTTTTTATTTTTTCAACTAAAAAAACGAGATTCGGTATGTTAGTATATGACATAAATTAGGATCGATTGACGTATTCAATTCTTTTCGGCCACTTCCTGTTTCACCAGAAATTACTACAACTTTTGATTTTTAAATGGCACCTTCGGTAATTTTTTATTTTACTCAATAGAAAATGACACCCTGTATATAATGACATATATGTCCACTTTTGACATTTTAGCTTGAGTGCCATGGGTGTGTTAAAAACACTAATTTTTAATCAAAGAGCTTTGGAAAAATAAGTTTGATCATATAATGTTTTAGTATCTTTTCCTGGCCGGTTAAAAGATGCCCAAATCGTATTTTTAACTATATCTCAATTTTTTCAAATGGAACGAGAGTGGCTCATTAGCGTATTTCAAAAAAGCATTTCTTTACGAATAATTTGGTACCATACACTTGGTATTTCGAGTCAAATTATCGTTATGAATCTCATGCTGCAATTTCAAATAAGCCATATTCCAAAATGTCAAAAGTGACATATTATGTGTCATTCTATTCGGAGTGTCATTTTCTATCGAATAGAGTAACAAAATATCGAGGGTACCATTTAAAAATCAAAAGTTGTAGTCATTTCCGGTGAAACAGGAAGTGACCGAAAACGATTGAATACTTCAATCAATCCTAATTTATGCCATATACTAACATACCAAATCTCAATTTTTTATTTAAAAAAATAAAAAAGTTATAGGGGTGAGCCACTTTTGAGACGCACCCGGTATAAAACTTTTCTATTTACCATTTTTTCATAATTTTCAAAATAAATAAAATAATAAACTTTATCGTTGACTAAGCCCGTACAATAGAATTAACGTAGGCATAAGAATTTACTGTTTCAAATACGAAAATTGGCAGACATTTCTAGTTAAACAGGAAGTGATCAAATTTGGAAAACATTTTAAAAGGAAGTTAACCTAACCTGAAATAAACTTGCCTAAGACTAACCTAAATTTGTTCTAAAATTATTCTATATCTGATTAGAAACTAATATTTTTTGTAAATATAATAAATAACGAATTAAAAAATCTAATGTTGTCTTAAAAAATAACTGTTGTGCCAAATAAAATATAGTAAGGCTAACAAATATACAGAACGATATGAAAAACTATTCTAAAAACTAAATTGAAAAAATTCTTATTAGTGTGAAAGAGATGCCTTCCACTAATATACTGACCACCAATATCTATTAACATTTCAAATATCTAATAGCATTTTAAATGTTGTTGACCCATTCCATCTAGGTGTTAGCTTTATGGCACTTAACAATAAAATATTGTACTTCATTAATACTAAAATTCCACGCATTATATTAACTTTTATTTATTAAGTATACTTAATAGTGATTTAATGTTCATTTTGTTTATTTATTGAATAGTGAAGGAAATTATTATTTTTAATACATGATTTATAATTAGTTAATGGCGAATTAACTGTAAACTTTTATTAATAATAAATATTTACTATGGAGGCGAGGCTTTATAACTTTATCGGATAGATTACAGTGTATGGGCTTACTTACAATTCCGGTAATTAAAACATGTATACTATAGATTTTGGCCGATAAAAACTAAATTATAATATCCAAAGCCGATTAAGCATCTCCGAAACCTGTTTCTCAACAAGTCGAACGAATCACTAGCTTCATTCGCTGCGATTCTATACCTTAGCAATATTTTTGCCAAGTCTATTTTCGACTTTCGAGTTTACGTTGGTTTAGCTAAATTTCGTAAGGCTGTGTAATCAACTGTCAAACTTTTATCTTTTCCTTGAAATATGTGAAAATATTTTAAAAGTTAATTGTATTTATAAACCAAATACAGTAATACAGTCTAACTCGTTATGATTACCACAAAGTTGTAGACCTAAACTTTTTGAAAAAAAGAAAATTTTGTCATTGGTTTCGTAGATAGAAGTATACAGGGTGACAGCGAATGTAGAATGTTTATAGGACAGGGGTTAATCACCGCGATCTTACAGATCTATTGTGTGTTCCCCTTTCTTCAGTTATAACAGGTTATAACTCATCATACAGTCTCAAGGCTTTGACTAAAGCCAGTATCTGAGACGGCTCCACAGAGGCTACCTCTCCATCTTCGACATCAGCCGTACCAAAGTTTATGGCACGAACGGTTGTCGTCTCGGCGCACTCAGTGATAAGATGTTCTAGTGTTTCTCCATTTTCCCCAAAGAATCTGCATTAGCCGTTGTTTCTCAGCTTCAATCAGTAGATTGAAGGTGTTCGTTGAAGACACAGTGTCCTGTTACAAACCCCGTGACAATCCGAAGATTGTTCTTACTTAAATCCAGGAAAATTTTTGATTTTTCTCGGTCATAAGTTCTGAGGAACATTTTCGAGTGCCTTAGACCATTGGAGGATTCCCATTCTAGGTTGCGTATGGAGTCCTCCAGGTTCTTCAGTTCCGCTTTAAGCTGGTTTCCGCTTGAAAAGCAGAACGGTTCTGGTCCAGTTAGTGGGAGTGTTCGTTCCTTTTCTAGCTAGATCGTTTGCTTTTTCATTGCCTTCTATCCCATGGTGAGCGGGCACCCAGAGTAGAAGGACTTTATTTTCTTTAGCCTAATTTGTTCAGCTTCTCTATGCATTCTTTAACCAACTTCGAATTGATGGTTATTGAGCTGATCGCTTTCAGTGCTGCTTGACTATCGGCTAGTTCCTGTTTTCGATATAGTTTCTATCTAAGATAAATTGTACGCATCTTTCGATAGCGTAGATTTCTGCCTGAAGGATGCTGGGGTAGGTGCCCATTAGTTCGGAGTATTTATTTTTCGACCCAAATACTCCTATACCTGTCCATGCTTTTAGTTTTGGAAGCATCAGTATACCACGCTATGGTATTGTCTTTTACATGCTGAGCAAACGTTTCTCTCTTCCAATCCTTTTTATTACTCAATACTATCGTGAGGTGTTTCTCAAAGTTTTAAATTCTTGGTATGTCATCCACTGAGTTGGTTAGGAATTTTTTTTTGAGGGTGTTCCAAACCACTCTCTTGAAAATTCTCCTAGTACTAAATCCGTCAATGACCATTCTAATCATTGTAGTATTGGCACAGGTACCGACGGCAATGTGCAGTGGTGTTAGGTCTAGGATGACCTCCATTACTGCTGTTGGGCATGTTCTCATAGTACCTATGATGCAGATGCATGCCGGGTGACAACAAAACCAGTTAAATGTAATTTCCGGTTTAATCGGAAATAATGAACATATGCGAAAAATTTAACGCGGAAAATTTTAACATTGATACTATACATAACAATGTATTTTATACCGTATGGTAAAAAAAAACTGCATCAAAGACGGCTGGGGAATGACACTCGATGATAATTTTGGCGAGCTCAATCCCTAGACTTCTTTTACTAAAAATTGATATAAAACTTCATCAAAAATTAACACTAATTTATAGAAAGATTAATAAAAGATAGAATGTTTCCAGACACACAAATGTATTTCCAAATATTTTATATTTTATAAATACCGTACTGAATTTCTGAAGAATTTCAATCAATTCACACTGTAGAATATTGTATTAGGAATACAGTTCGACCCTTTATAAATTAATGTAAATTATACTAATTAACTAATTTTTTTGTATTAATTATTTTATTTATATTCATTTTTAACTTGCAACATATTTTTTACTACTATTCATTTGATTGTGAATGGCATGGAGGGCCAAACCCCAACCGTGGAAGGGTATATACCCTCGGAGGAAGAACATTTGCTGTCAGAGGAGCATGGGAAATACCCTGTCCTCCCTACAACAGGCAAATCCTCATGTATGATGAGTTATAGACTGTATGATGAGTTATAACTCAAGAAAAGGGGATCAATAGATCTTTAAGCTTCGCAGTGATAAACCTCCCTCCCACTCATTCTACATTGCACATTCTACTACATATTTATTTTAATTAAATACTTTTAATCTGTATAGATTTTATATACCTTGACACTTACCTTTTATATATATTTCTTCGAATTTACACCTCATCAGCTTATACAGATCTAGGTACTTCTGATAATCAACCTTCTTCCTATTAACCTCCTCAGATAACTGAAACCAAAAAAAAAATATTTTAATAATTTTTCTAAACCAGTTTCAAATGAATTCGAGTTTACAATACTCCTATTATTATAGTGAACAAATTCTGGATATGAAATGTCTAAATACTACAAGTATATCAAGCTTTCTGTAAAACATATGCAAAAACTTTATTTTAAGTTTAAATCTTCTTTACGTGCGCTGGAAGTAAAAAATCAAAACCGTGACACGACACACGACACGCTACACAACAAGCGAGAGGAAAAGTGGTAAGGACAGTGTAGGGCTTAGAAAAAATCGTTCGATTTAAATGAAATTTGGTATGTCGATAGACTTGACCAAGCCCAACTTGACCGTGTACAACACGTGTCACTGTGACATTAGTTCTGATGTAAGAGACGTCAAAAATTGATGTCCGATCGCGATCAAATTTTGTGGGTAGGCTATGTAAGGGACGGTGCACACGGCCCCACCCTGCAAAGTTGGATACGACGTTTCGTTTACATCTTCATCAGACTGGGACTAAGTATATGATATTGAAGAAAAATGTGGGCCGATTTCGGCATAATTGGGATGGTCTACAGGATGACGCCCTAGACGTTTCAAACCGATGCCTCTAAAAGGACGAAATCGTCAGGATTTTTCTTAATTATGGGTCGATTGGAACCAAACTCGGCACGTGGATAGGTATACCCGAATAGAGTCATCAAACGGACAGATGGACGTTTTAATACAATTTTTGTAAAAGTGAATCAAATTATTTATTAATTTTTAATTTATTACTTTTTCAATATTTCAAACTATACTTTTTCAAACATGTCCTTCAAATCCTTCAATTTAATAGCTGTTAGTAAGAAGTTTCATTTCAAAGATGCGCACCTAGTACACACATACAATTTTTTTTTTCGGTGTATTTTTTCTGTATTTATTTTCTGCGAAGAAAAATGATCGAATAATGACTTGAGCTCCTTCAAATGTTGCGAAGACCTTATTCAAGGACGTCTTAACTTTTGCTGGTGCTGAATGGCACTTGATGCTTTAGATGAAACGGTGATTTTTTGACGCAAATGCTTACTGCCAAACCTAATATCAAAATTAATGTTTCAATGTCTAATTGGGTTAAGTGGTAGAATAGCTTACAGCTAAACTTCGCCCACAAATTGTAACTATCTTTTTTTTATAGTACAATAAAGACGATTTATTATTATTATTGTTATTAATTGTTTCATTCATTGGGCGACATCACAAGCCATCAGGGTACCTATTCTTGACATCGTTAGCAACTTTGCGTATATGCATCACGTGGATTGTTATATGGATTTTTCGGAGATGGGAGTAGTGATGGGAATAATCGAATTATTTTCACCATCGAATAATTAGTAATAATTCATATTTCACAATCGAATTAATAAGCCGAATTATTTAGTAGTATGGTAGTATTATAAATTTAACCTAAAAATAAATTCGTCCCAGCTAGTGCTCGTCTAGGGGCTATTTTAAACAAATTCTGAACCATTGCCATACCTATATTCTATCACTGAATAAAAGATAAAAAAAAATATTCTTTATTCAATGTATTCTATTGTGCCGAAGCCGTTTAATAAATTAAACCATAATTTAAAGTTTTAAATTTAAAAATGCCGAGTTTATGATTGTTTCAATTCCTATTGAAAAGCTCATATCTAAAATAAAAGCTTCTTCTAAAACGATATAAGTATGTCCTTGTTTACGTGCGGTTCGTATTTCTTTTTATTTTATCAGTTGCAATCAATAATTATTTAGATAAAAGAAGAAAATTAATTTTAGTGTTCGGCAGGTATTCGGTGAAATTTGGGTGAGATGGAAATGAACCAAATAATAGCAGTATTCTTTCGTTCTGAACGAAATGAAAATTTTCACTCAAACTGATTTATTCCTACGTGGTATAGGAAATAACAATGATTTCTCGATTTTTCTATATCGGATCGTTCCTTTCTTTGTGGATTCTCTTTATAAATCAGTTTAAGTGAAAATTTTCAGTTCGTTCCGAACGAAAGAATACTACTAATAGTACTATACTAATTACTAATATTCGTATTCGTCCATAAGAGGTTATGTTTTATGTTCATTTGTAATTCGGTTACCACAAATATAATATAAAATACTACTAATTTTTATCTCGATTATATCGAAAAAGATAATTCGAATTAGTTAGTTTTAATTTACTATCGAATTAGTCGTATTATTTAATTCGAATTTTCCCAACACTAGATAGGAGCGATATTTGAAGATGAGAGTGGTCAAGAATAGGTACCCTGGTCTTTTTCTCTTTTCTCGAAGGTAACATAACCCGAAACAAATATTGTCCATGGTCCCCTTTATTTCTCTTTGTTTAATATCTTGATAGTTTATTATCACAAATCGCTAATATTGTTTGCCATTATTTCTGCAGTGATTGCTCGTTTAAGTAATCGTTGTCTTTCACTCCTTGAAAGGCCAAAGTAAATTAATATTGAAAATACGTATGTCAAAGACGATATATAATACTTGTTAACTGTAATTTGATTATTAATTATAGGGAATTAATATCTTGTGACACGACTAATCCAACGTTGAATTTCTTAAAACTAATATATTTACAATTCATATGTGCATGCAGATATTTTTATTCCGATAGCTGCTATTAAATTTAAATTACTTTTTTAATTGAAAATGTCAAAAAGTGACATATATGATATGTAATTCAATTCAAAATGTAATTTTCTATGGAAAAAGTAAAAAATTACCCTGGGTACCATTTAAAAATCAAAAATTGTAGTCATTTCCGGTAAAACAGGAAGTGACCGAAACTAATTGAATACAATTATTATTGTCCATCTTATGCGTCTCAAAAGTTTTTTGGTATGTATAGTATATGATGTTTTAGTATATGACATAAATTAGAATTGGTTGACGTATTCAATTCATTTCGGTCACTTCCTGTTTCACAGGAAATGACTACAACTTTTGATTTTTAAATTGCACCCTCGGTATTTTTTTACTTTATTAGATAGAAAATAATACTCTAAATAGAATGACATAGCGTCAGTCAACTTTTGACATTTTCGCTTAAAACTAAATTGTATTTTAAATTTCAAGCTAGAGTGCCATGGCTGAGTTAACTAATTTTTAATAAAGGAACCTGGGAAAAACAGATTTTATCATCTAATGTTTTTAGTGTCCTGGCCGGTTAAAAGATGCCCAAATCTTATTTTTAGTCATATTTTAATTTTTTCAAATGGAACGAGTGTGGTTCATTAGCATATTTGGAAAAGGCATTTTTTACGAATAATTTGGTACCACACACTTGGTATTTCCAGCTAAATTGTCGTTATGAATCATCATCATCATGATATGTCATTCTATTCAGATTGTCATTTTCTATCGAATAAACTAACAAAATACCGAGGGTGCCATTTAAATATCAAAAGTTGTAATCATTTCCGGTGAAACAGGAAGTGACCGAAAACAATTGAATACGTCAATCAATCCTAATTTATGTCATTTACTGACATGCTAAATCTCGATTTTTTATCTGGAAAAATAAAAAAGTTAGAAAGAGTGGTTTTTTGAAATTTTACGGGTATATTACTTTCCATGTGAATGACAACCATCAACGATAACGACAAAACAGTTTATTAATGAAAGGTAAAAATACAAATTAACTTAATAGCTAGCAAAAGCTAGCCTAAGCTAGTCTAAGCAAAAACTAAAATATGAAATATCAATGATAAAATTAATGTTTTAGTTCGTACATCGATATTCCGTATATCTCAAAATATTGTACAGTTTCGAAAATTTTGCAATTTGGAGCACCCCCTGTATCTCTGTTATTGTTAAAGGTATCGATAAGGCAAAAACTGCTTATTGTAGAACTTTTTATGTAGAATACAGTGGCGTAGTCTGTTTTTCTACCAAAAAAATATTTTTGAAAATATGAACTAAAGTTATGTTTTTTAAAATGGAACACCCTGTATATTTATAAATCATATGATCTGTCTTGCTATGAGCTTCTCAAAAATATATATCACTCTATATTTATTTTGACTATTTACTGCAATATTTAAAATATATCATTTGGTTATTAGTAGGCCGTGATAAATAAGAAAAAATCAAAATGGTATTTACTAAAATAGTCATACAAATATTGAAATTTTATTTGGGATTGATATATTTTACTTTTGAAATAACTGTTACCACTGAATCTATGAATATATCTTTCTTTTTTTATAACAGGATGGGTTTGCAAATTTCTAAAAGCTTGAATTATTAAAGCATTTTTCAGGTGTTCGACATTGTTGCAGTGCCCACGATATATTTCGTATTTCAAAAATCCCCAAAATCGGAAATCGAGAACGGCGAAATCCGGGAATCGGGGATATGTGTTCATTAGTTCCAATTCATTGATTTGAAAAATAATAATTTAACAAAATTCTAATATTTTAATAGTTATGAGGGGGAATGTTTCCCATCTTGCTGAAAATGTATTTCACGTAAATTAGCTAAAGGAATATCAAAATTTCCGATACGATAGATTATTCGTACGTATACACATATTCCAAGATTTATAAATTGCGGTAGTGAGTTAAGTTTTCCTAATATATAAAGAATTTTATTAGCGGCTCCCAAAATAAAAAAAAAGAGACAGATAGCAGTATACTTTTAAAAATTCTTTAGTTTCTTTTATTATCAATCATGGCCTACTAATAAATATGATCTTATAATAAAAACTTTTAAATATTGCAGTAAATAAAGAAAATAAATATAGAGTGATATATATTTCTGGGAAGCTTATGGCAAGACAGATCATATGATTTATAAATATACAGAATGTTCCATTTGAAAAAACATAACTTTAGTTCATATTTTCAAAAATAATATTTTGGTAGAAAAACAGAATACGCCACTGTATTCTACATAAAAAGTTCTACAATAAGCAGTTTTCACCTTCTCGATAGCTTTAACAATAACAGAGATACAGGGGGTGTCCCAAA